AAAAAAAAAAAAAAAAAAAAAAAAAAAAAAAAAAAAAAAAAAAAAAAAAAAAAAAAAAAAAAAAAAAAAAAAAAAAGTAGTATAAAAATAAAACGAAATGACAAATTGGGTCGAAAACACATTACCATCCATCTTTCTCGTGATTCTCATTATTCTCATGATCAAATATTTTTTAAATTGAAAATTTTTAAAAGTTGGTTTATCCTTTAAATTGTATTATTGATTTACTCATATTCTATAAAAAATTTATTGAATGAATTAGTATTAAATTAAAAATATATATAATTAAGATAAATACTGTATAAATAAATAAATAATTATTAATAATTACTTTTCACTTTTGTTTTGACGATAATCATATTCAAAAAAAAACCCGTCCCAATGATCAATAATTTTTAATTTCAGAAGAAAATATAAATAAATTTACAATTATTATTTATTCACCGAATGACTTGATATAATTTGTTCGCTTATAATTTTTTGATCTGATTTTAATTCTTTAAATAAATAAAATTTGATTATACAACTTTAATTTACAACGTATTCTCACTTATGTGTTAATCTAAATAAACAATAAATTAAATTCTAGTATAAATTAAAATTAAATAGATAATACATTATTTTTTATTATTTTTATTATTTTATAATTTTTATTGTTTTTATTATCATTTTTATCATTTTTATAATTTTTATAATTTTTATTATTTTATTATTTTTATTATTTTTATTAATTTTATTAATTTTATTAATGATCATAGGATATACATATCTTGATGCTTCGAACTAGGATCACTTGCCTAAATCGTTTGTATAATCTTAGTGGGCAGATTGTTTGCTGCAAAATCCAAACCTTGTAAAAAAGTTTATTAGGAAGCTGATAAAAGTTCTAAATTTTGTAAAAAAACTTAAACGCGAAAAAAGCGCGAGTTAAAAATATTATCACACCAACCAATAAAATTAGCGATCAAAAAGCTAGAATCATTTTCTTTTGTAAAATGTTTAGGTGAACTAATATTCATCTATTTTTCACTTTTCAAAGAACAGGGGTTTACTCAAGTAGAAAAAATTGTGTTACTCACTTGTATTCTGCGGACGTTTTTAAAACACAATCCCAGCGCAAGTGTCTGCTAGGTATAAAGTTGAAGGTCGGAAAAAACTCAATTCATCACGAACAAGCAGAGACCTACATTGGGAGTCTGTCTGCTAAAGACTCAACGTCTACCAAATGATACGTTTCAACGCCGGCTGTTCTTCTTCCTATACTCTTGTTTCACATTAATTAAAGAATCTGGATTGACGGTTAATTGAATTACCTTCTTAATTCCCGATTTTCCTCTATAATACAGTGTCATAATAATAATACTCTAAAAATCCCATCTTCATTCTTTTAGTATGATTTCTTAAAATTCGAGAAGCTATCATATGATTTTTTTAAAAAAATTAAATTAAATTAATTAAAGAATCGAAAAATTATAAGTAAAAACAACCAACATAAATTATAAACGCATTTTTACTATATCAACCTGTCCCGCTTGTAATATTGATATTTACCGTATTATTTTCATTAATGATCTAATAATTAATATTATTATTTAAATTTTAACTTAATTAATAAATATCATTAATTTGATTCAATTTAATTCAATAATTATTTTGATTAATATAATTGTAGCCTTAATCTCTAAGTGACATGCTTGAAAATTTAATGGATACAATCTCGGACATAACAATAATATTTATTATTTAAATAAACTGACGTCGAGCTTCAATTCTTGATCGAATTCTAAACAAACATAATTAATATTTGTTTAAATATTAAAATATAAATTAAATTATTTAAATTAATAATACAAACCTATTTCTATTTCAATTCCTTATTTATTAAGTAATGAGTCTTAATAATTTAGATAATATAGTTGTTTATCCTAAATATTTCCAATTTCGAAATTTAAAAAATCATAAAAATTAATAAAATTAATTCGAAATTTCAAAAAAATTCGTAAAAAATTAATAAAATTAATATTAAAATTTCGAAAAAAGAAACAAAAATATCCTCACGGTGGCTTTGAATTCTACAATATCTTTAGAAAAGAAAAATTTTAACGTTTGATCATTTATGTAGACGACATTTACCTCTTAAAGGATTCACATTATATATGTCATTTTTACTCATAGAACTTTCTTTTGAAGAAAATTTTAAATAAAACGTTGAAAATTTTAAATAAAACGTTTAATTTTCTATACTCCATTTCTAATTACTTGAGAAGAATAAGAATAAATAAAGAATAAATATTTAATATAATCACTTAAATTTTAACTATAAATTCTAAAATCTTTTCTTTGGACCTGAAATTATATCTAACCTTCTTCGGACTTTTTAATTTTGAACTCTGTTTTCTGATTCGAAAGTGATAAACTTTTCTCAACATTTGCTCAAATTAACTCTTTGAATTGGAATTTCTTGACAATTCCTCTTTTATATGCAACCAAGCCACCAAAAAAAAATGATTATCATCATTTGACATTTGATACATTATTTAATTTGGTTACACGATTTTACATATTTAGTTAAAGTTAAAGGTAAATAATAAAAAATATACATATCATAAGGGCATCTAATCCAAATGAATATACTGGAATGAATGGTACAAACCGTGCAACTCAACACATTTCAAAAATGATTTTGATAAATGGACAAGTGAAAATGATACAATTGATAAATCGTTTATTATGCTAAGTGGATCGATGGATAAATTGAAAATTGGGATATTGAAATCAACGATGGGGTATTAAAAAAGTTTGATGACACTGAGTATATGAATAAAGAATTCTTAAATGAGGTAAAATAATATTCTAATTTAATATGAAACTTTATTTGAAAATGTATAATAATTTAAAATATATATTTAGATGTCCATTCACTTGAGAACAGACGATGCATATACACCACAATTTTTTTGGAATTACAAAAGATCCAGAAGCTCACAAATATATGATGGTTTTAGATTATTTAAAAGATGGAATTATTTAAATAATAATTTTAATAATATTAATTTGGAAAATAAATTATGGTATTTAAATAATTTAGCAGAAAATTTAAACAACATCATAAATTAAATATAATGCATCATGATTTTCACCCTGGAAATATTTTATCATATGATTTTCTTGACGATTTACTTATTTCAGATTTTGGGTTAAGTAAATTAGTTGGGAAAATGTAGAAAATCCCCAAAAGAGAATATTTTTGGAGTATTACCCGTGGAAGAATATGCAAAGGCGCTGATGTTGCAATTATTGCTTATGAAATAGTCCCATATCCTGATGTGCCACATGATGATGATCTGGCTTTGAAAATATGTAATGGATTAAGACCAAAAATTCCATTCTACACTCCTAAATTAATTGCGCAAATGATTATGAGATGTTGGGATACTCGAATTACCTGTCGACCTACTTTTGAAGAATTATCTAAAGGGTTAAATAAATACTTGAGGGATTATCGTGAAAATAAATATAAAAATAGTAACGAAATTACAATTCAAATTAAAGAAGCCGAAGAATTTTCCAAAAATCAAACAACTACTTCATTTGATTGCACAACACATCCACAAGCAATTTATACTAGTAGACTTCTCAATTTTTCTAATCATCCAAACCCTGAAAATGTAACAAATTTTGAAAAAGAACTTGAAGAATTAACAGAATCTTTTTCTCAATTAATTACTAGCAAGTACCAATTATATATTTATTTTATTCATTTTTTATTTCATGATTAATTATATTAATTTAATTTATTTTTATTTTTATTTAGATGATGATATTGAAGATTTTAAATATAATAAATATTATTATAAAAGTAATTTTGTATAAATTCGATTAATTTGGTTTAAATTCAAGAGATAATTTATTTTTTTTATAAAGTCTTCACATTAAGTATAGAGCATATTTTGTATGAATCAAATTATGTTTAATAATAAAAGACTAACTATCAATGATATTTTATCCTATTAAATTTTTTTAGCATTAAAAATTATACAAATTAATATTTATACAGTAAATTAAAATTCAAAGAATTATATTTATTTATTAAATAAAATTATTTTTCAATAATGATATCAATTATTATTATAACCAATTATCGACTTTATGATTTTTCTTTAATTTTAAATATTCAAATAAATATAAATAAAATTACAATTATTTTTTTTTATTCATTGAAGAAGAATAAACTGATTTTATTATTATTACTGTTGTTGTTGTTTATATTGTCTTAATTATAATTATCAACTAAAATTAGCTTTAAACTTGAATAAAGATAATGTTAAATTAATCTTATATATCTTCGGTAAAAAAAAATAAATAATTATGCTAAAACACATATAATGTATATTTGTCTTTTCATAATTCTGTCCATTTTGAAGGAAATAAATATTGTATAAATAAATAAATTTTAATAACTATTTTCGATTATCTAATAAACGATAAAATAATTTTAGTTTAATTTAAAGTAAAAATTAAATTTAATTCAATAATATACTATGTAAACTTGTATTATTTATTGAAGTAATTAATTTATTCTAAATTTTTGAAATTATTTAAAATTAATTAAAATTCAATAGTTATTTTAATCAAACCTTCGCTAAAAATTTGTATTTGCAAATTAAAATATTATCAGTTCTTCAATATTATCTTTGAAAATGAAAGTTGATTTTTATGAATACAATGAATATAATATAATTGTAATGAATACATATTTTTTTATCTTTGAACAGACTTGTTTCTTATTCTAATAAACATATTCCAAAAGTCATTTCCCTTATAAAACTTTTTTCTTTGTAATATATCATTTTATTAAGGTATAATTTTAGTTATCTATTATTTTAATAATAAAATAAATAAAAATGTTTATTAGTTTTAATTAGAAATGTTAAATGATCTATAATCTCAACTTTTTTAGAATTCAACTTGTTCTAGTTCCTGACTTGAGTTCCTCTAAGTTTTTTCGATGAAAAATGGATAATTATACTAAAACATATATATTTGTCTTCGATCTTTAATACTAATAATAAAATAATTTTAATATCTTCAATATTCATGTAAAAAATACAAGAAAATATATTAGATGATACTTATTTGATATTTAATAATTATTATTATCCAAAATAGAAATAAATAATTAAAATTCCGATAACTATAAATATTCAATATATATAACGTGATGATAGGTATCGTTTTGATAGACTGTAACTATTTTTAAGTAACGTGATGCAACTTAATATAAATTTTCACGTAATGTATAGAATAACAAAATCATGTGAACATCAAAAAATTTATCAAAAACAATACTTTTCAGATGATAAATTTAGATTATCAGATTATCATGTGTTCGATCTTAAAGAATTTTTTTCTAGATTATAGTTACACGGATTTTTATTATTATAAAAATGATTTAGGTCGTGCGGTATAATAATATTATAAAGAAATACTTTATAAAGAATAAAATTCTTAAACTTTACTCAAATTCTGTTTCACTGCTATTCATAGTAAAATTTATGAATTATTTATAGTATTGGAACAATGAATTAATAATATAAATAATGTTAGCGTCATGAATAATAGATGAGAAGTCAATTCTTATTATTATCCCACGGTCCCTGATTAGTCACCCATGATTTTTTATCGGTTAATTTGCGGTTATTTTGCTAAAAATACATATATTATTTAACTAAAAAAAGTCTACTGAGTCTTTTACGCCATGAAAATAGTCAAAAAATCTTGGTTTATTGTCTCTATATACAAATTATACTATACATACTGACACTGATATGTGAAGAGTAAATTAGTAATGGAAATTCGTTCCAAAATCGGCATAAAATGACCCTTAGTCGCCTCTTTTCTTTTTTAAATAAACGCGACTTTAATTCTAAAAAGATGCAGTTTTTATACCACATTCTATATTTAGTTTTTGTCTTCGCTTTATTTATTTCCTATAACCCAACGATATGTCACAGGTACAAGTATTCTCCAGAAGAACTTATCAACAGTCGATTATTTTACATTGAACCGGAAAAAACTGCCTTTTCTCTTGATATTGAACCCATAAGTTATCCTGATAAATGTGAATTAAAACAATTACATTTGAATACTAGACATGGTAATTATTATTTGGTCTACATGTACAAATTTGACAGTGTAAAATAATCTTTTAAATTAATTATTAGGATCAAGATATCCGACTCCGCAGGAAATTACTTCCTATGAACAATTAGAAAAAATATTTGCTAATGTCACGATAGTAAAAGAATGGGTAATATAGTTATTTTCCATATTTAGTAAAACTTGTCACTATTTAAGAATACTTTCCTTTTTAGGATAAAAATCCTTTTCCGATGAGGAAAAATCTTCAATTGATCAAGCGAGGAGAAATCGAAGCATATTTTGATGGTTTACAATGTCGTAAAAGATACGCAAAATTTTGGGAAGGAGTTGAATATGATCCTGAAGTTATAAAGTTTCAAAGTACTGCTTTTTCGAGGTACATTTTAACACATATATATCTGGTTTTTCATGTTTTCATACGAATATATAAATAAAATACAATACCTAATATTCCTATTTAAAGAAACGGCATGTCAGCAATGGCCTTTGCTGAAGGATTATTTAATGGCAAGGGCTCTCTAGACACTTGTAAAAGCCAACCAGTGTATATTTCTGCTGTTCCTTTGGTAATTTTTTTTTATTACGCCATTAGTAAAATATTTTTTTGTTCAAACCTGTTAACATACTATGCCTTATATAGGAACAGGATTCTGTGTTGGCACCATATGCTTGCCCACGTTTTAATCAGACCGTTTTTAACATTACTAATAATGAATACCTCCAAGAACAAATTTACCCATATGGAAACAAGACCCTAAAACCAATTGCTGAGCGTCTTTCTAAAGAATACAATATCAGTCCACCTCTTGATCCAATTTTAGTACCAGCTATTTTTACTAATTGTCAATTTTGGATTACTCACTTTAATCGAACTGACACGTGGTGTTCATTACTAAGTCCTGATGAACTTCTACTATCACGATATTATTTCGATCTTCTCATGTATTATAGATTTCAATATGGTCATCCTTTTAATAAACGAATGGGATGTGCCTATTACACTCAACTTGTAAATGAAGTTGATAGTTATTTAAATGGGACATCTTTTGTGATAGCTGATTTAAAGAATTCTCAAGGCTGGACTATAATGTTACAATCTACTTCATTAGTATGTGAAAATTTTCATTTCCATTCTCATTCCCATTTTATTTTATTTTTTTGGTGTATATATAAATATTAACAATTAATTACAGGGACTACTTAAAGAACAATACGAACTCACGGCAGATTTACCCCTTGAAAAAATCAAACAACTCAACTCAACAGATTATGTAGCTATACATTGGTCTTCTACTCTTTATTTTGAAATTTATACTTGCTCAGATGATTGCAAGAATGACGTATTGATACGAGCATTACTTGACTTTAAACCACTTTTGATTCCGGGATGTAAAAGTGAATATTGTGATTGGAAAACATTTAAAGAGATTCTTGGTGATCAAATTGGATGCGATTGGAACAAGATGTGCGCTTATCCGTGAAAGGATGATTAATCTTTTCTTTACTATTATATTATACGTATATCTTAAATATTTTTCACGCAAAGAAACTTTTTTTTTCCTATAAATGATTAAATAAAAATACGATTCTACCGATGTCATTAAAAAAATTTTTTTGTACATACTTAAAAACTTTTTGAATTTTTGAAAAAAAAAATTTTTTTATAAGATTATTATTGTTATCGGAAATTCCTCTGAACCAGAAAAAAGAATCTCGTGCAATAAGTAAATTGGGGCTAAACATAACCAATCGATAATCATCAAAAACAGCAGGAGTCAAAGAAAAATCGTTATTTCAAGACTTGCATTATTATAAGACGATTATAGAAAATTAACTCCCGATGATTTTCGTTTTTGTTATTTGATATAGAGGAAGAAAAAAAGGCCATAAAAATTTAAAATTGCACGGTGTATAAACGCATTGTATTAATGTGATCTACAATATATGTTAGTGGAACTAGCTTCGCCAAAAAATCTCAGTTGAGTAGTGACTCGAAACTTTGCTTCCTCACCTCAAATAGGCAATGAGTTTTCAGTTACACCCGCTGACTTTTCTTTCTTTTTGTAACTTTATCTGATCAGGTAAATCTCTGGATATTGCTTTTGATTTTAAATGTTTTCAGCTCAACTTCTGATTCAGATAATTTGGATTTAAAGGATGAGATCTCAGTTTCCTTCTTTGACAAATCATTCTGGAATAAATCAAACTTTTTTAATACCACTTCTAATTCTTCACCTTTACGATATCTTTTCCATTGTTAATTTTTCAACATCCCAACAATCAATTGATCCATCAATCACCTAGAATAATGTATTTTCCTACCTATTTGTTTAATGTCTTTAAATCTATCATTCTATTAATTCCAAACAATTATTAGCATTTAGTTGAGCATCTTGAATGAATTTATCCATTTTGTCATTTCCACTTGTCCAATTATTAAAAAAATGTTACGAGTTTCAATTTTAAAAAAGAAAATGTCTTTAAACCATGTGTGAAAAAAAGATTGCTATAACAAAAACACAATGGTTTTCTAATTGGATCACGAGTATTTTGAGAATTACATTTCAATTTATGAACATTGCAACGTAAAAAAATTTTATTCTTTCTAGCGAGAACCTGTAAAAAATAATTTATTATTTCGATTTATTTAATTATTGTCGATATTCACTTATATAAAATTATCTGATGCTAAAAATAAAATCGTCGTCATTTGAATTTTCTTAAATAGGTTTTAAAAATTATCCAGAAAAAAATATTTATTTATCAGATATTCGTTATAACTAAAAAAGCGATTATGAATAAAACAAATACCTTAACGATTTTTTGTGGTCACTATAAAAAAATTAGTTTTCATTTTTCTTGGGAGAAGAACGTTGAAACAGCAGGCTGATTGCTAGACACCGTCGAAATGATAAAAGTAACTTTTGACGGTCCAAAGGCAACCTAAAAAAAATGTTGATCATTCGAGAATAATTACCAATGAAGCTTCAGTTTTACATTTTATTATTGTTTTTGCTGATTATATACGTTTTGTAAATTTGTTTAATGGATTAGAAAGAAAGTATCAAGTATTTAAACGAGTAGTATCGAAAACAAATCTATCTAATTGAATTAATTAGAAGATATTTTATTATTTGATATAATTAATCTTTAGGATTCTAACAATATTCTTAGTCTAGAATAAATTCTTACGCAAATAAAGTCCGTCTAAAAAATCAATAAAAATTTCTGAATTTACGTTTCGATTTCTGAGTAAATATCCAATAAGGTTTATTAAAGAAATTGAAAATAATGTATTTATGTTATTATTTTCATCGAATTCAAAAATGGATTCTTTTTTTTTTGTCAAGCCAGAATTATTTCAGTATAAGGTCTAATTGACAACACGATCTAGCAAAAAGAGATTCTATCAATTCTTCAAGCTCTTTTTTCAAAATTTGGTTCAATTACAGGTTTTAGAAAATTTAAAAAATTGTGAAGTCTGTAGTTGTTCTATTAGTTATTGAAAAATTTTCGGCTTTTTTAATTTGAATAGTACTATAATCGTAATATCACGTCACGTGTAATTAATTTGAGAATATAAAATGGAATTTTTTGCCGTATTCTATAAAAAGCCAGTAACTATTATTTCTAATTATAATCTTTCTTATCAGATCTCTTTATTTTTAACCAACGGCTCTTTTTGGATTTTCTTCATTTTTCCCAATTACGATACTTAAACAATCAACCAACAATATTATTGGAAATTTATTTGGAACGATTTTGGGGATCAAGCGGGTTAAAAACCTTTAGCGTCAATGCTATTTCAAAATTTCCTGTATCAATACAATAAAGCTAATCCAACTTTTTCCCTTATATCGCTACATTCAATTCCTAATAATATCTTAAAATTTTTAATAAAGCCTCGCTCTCAATCTGGGCTTTGAATTTTAACAATGCATATAAAAATGGCTCATTTGCAATTTTTTAAGGAACAATTTTATGTGTTCGCTTAAACTCAGAAGTGGACAGAACTTGGGGATCTCTCGAAATGGAACTTAGAATGAAATAGGCAGAATGTGTACAGTATATCGCTATACAAATGATCATATGACACACAATATAATCATTATGACGCATTTATTTTTCTTATTCTCTCATACAAACTGATGATGCAAACCTTTTTTTTGCAAATTTTATTATAAAAAAGATTACACCTGCAACAATAAATCAATAATTTTTCTTCTCACAAGCAATCAAATATCCACATCTTCACCAAATATTTAAATAGCTCTCATCAAAAAAACTTGAACAATACTAGAAAATCGACATGTCCCAACCTACTATCAAAAGAGTTACTAGTTATCTTCCCTCTTATTGGTTAATTAATGCACCTTCTGAAGGAATTCAAGTGCAACCTGCAAACGAATATTTGAACTATAAGGTCACCAATCTCTCAAAAGCGAACCAATGGACAAATGTTAGTATTCAACATCTATTACCAACTAATGGAGGTGCTTTGATAATCTTTCGTATCCGCGTGAATAAAATTGAAAAGACTTCTGAGGTCAAATTAACTCTTCCCGCTGATATAATCTGGAGATTTCACTCAAATAATGTCAATTATCAATGGTTTGACTCCGGTGGTAGCTTCCAAACACTTTCTTCCAGTAACATTCGTCCTGATGGTACTTGGCATACAGTTACTTTAGCCTTGACTCCTGAAGCAGTGGTTCTCCTTGAAGATGGTAACTTAAAATTCAATTGGAGCCATTGTGTCGCTAGGACCGTGAATCCCAGATTTGACATGCAGATTTTGGATATCGGGGGCAGTTTGGATATCGATATAGGTGATATCAGCGTTATACCACCTAGATTTATTTAAATTTCACTTGTATTCTCATACGTGTAACAGCGAGCGAAATGTTCACAAATTTATTTTTGTATTATTACTATTATTGTATTCTTTGTTTTTGACAACTTTTTATTTCATAAAAAATAAAGCAGGCTCAGGCTAGTCTAAAAACTTGCAAATTATTTTCCTAACAATAAATTTGAAGTGTATGGGGGTATATTTGGATTGAAACCGAGGTATCATTGATATAATCCTGATCTTAGTATGATATTCTCGAATACAACATGCTTGTAATATCGATATTTATTAAGTGTTGGATTGATGAGGGTTGGGATTTTGAAAATTAACAATATGTAAATTTATATAATATTTTAAAAAAAATAAATTATAGATTCACTTGAAAATAATGAGTAAATTATTATCTTTTAGATTTTATGGATTATAAAAGGCCCAGAAATTCACAAATAATAGTGATAATCCTAGAAGGTGGAAGTCTTAGAAATTGGTCGTATAATTGCTTTCTGGATTTTCAAAATAGAAGCCAAAAATTTTAGAAGTATGATTATCCATTGTTTGGTTCTTATATAAGAGTTAAAAAAAAATACTATGATGGTTATTGAAATATTACTGAAATCAAATAACGATCGATCGAAACAACAAAACAGCTCTGTTTAATTATAGATTAATTCCACAAGCCTTTTATACTGGTAGACTTCTCAATCTTTCAATCTTCCAAAACCTAAATGAAGAAAATTTTGAAAATAACTTTTTCTCATAATTACTAATGAGTATCAATTTTATGTTCACTTTTCATTTCATCAAATATTTATTTTGCGATGATGATGATCAATAAATTTCTAATTAAGTTCAAAGCATTTAATTTTTATGTAAAAATAAATTAATGAATAATAATTATTTATTGATTCTTTCTAAAAGTTATTAAAATACTTAAAGTTATTAATTATTCCTATATTTTATTTACGGGGATTTTGCTGAAATTTTATAAAATATAAATTAACTTTTCTCTTGACTACAAACTAACTTAATTGAATTTAGACAAATATATTAATTGTGAAAATATCTGTCTTTTAAAAAAATTCATCAGTATTATCGTCTAAATAAAAATAAAATAAATTATTATAATTAATCATAAAATAAAATGTAATATATGATTGAAACTTACTAGTTGATATATAAGAAAAGGGTTCTTTTAATTCTTCAAGTTCTTTTCAAAATTTGGTTCATTTACAGGTTTCGGAAGATTTGAAAAATTGGGAAGACGACTAGTGTAAATTGCTTGCGGAAGTGTTTTGTCTAAGTAGAATTATATCAGTCGATATTTGAACATCTGATAATTCTTCGACTTCATTAATTTGAAACAAATAATCATCCCTATCATATAATTCTTTAAAAGTAAGTCGATGTGAGATTCGAGAGTCCCAACATCGCATAATCATTTTATGTAATTAATTTGGGAATATGAAATGATATTTTTGGTCGCAATCCATTGCACATTTTCAAAGCTAAATCATTATCATGTGCCACGCCACATCAGGATATGGCGATAGACCAGTGACTATTTCATAAGCAATAATTGCAAATAGATATAAACATAAGCCTTTGTGCACTCTTCCCCGCCTAATACTTCAGGAGCTATTTAAGGTAAAACTCCAAAACGGTTCTCTTTTGAGAATTCACTAAATTTTTCTTAATTAATTTACTTAACCCAAATCTGAAATACTTAAAGTAAATACTGAATGTTCAAAATTATTCGATAAAATATTTCCAGGGTGTACAATAATTAATTCATGAAGTCCTAAAAATGTTAATGCTAAATCTTCTAAAAAATTTAACTTATTAAGCCAACTAAGATTGTTGAAATTATTATTTAAATAATTTCTAAGACTCCCCTGACGACCACATGAAAATTTTTAAAAATTACTAAAATTAAATTGTTGATTGTGGTCCTTAAAATAGAGCTATCATATGATATTTGTTAAAATTGAATGCCTACATGTGGAGAAATTACACTTAAAAATTAGGGTATTGCTAAAGCTTACCAGTGGTGATTGTCACCACCGGGCAAAATTACATAATTTCCTGATCAACACTTTGCCTACGTAAATTCAATTTTGCCCAGCGGTGACAATCATCACGAGTGACCTTTAGCAATTTTCTATGACAAATCTTTAATCGTTACTCATACCGGACTCGATGGATTTTAAAGATCAATGTCAATTATCTTAAATAAAATTGTAGCCAGAAATTATATCTACAACTTTAATTAGAAGAAATTTTGTGGTATCTAATGAAAATTGGACTTTGCTTAAACGTGAATAAAAATGGCAAAATTTATTAAAAATTTTAAAAAAAAACAACCTTCATATGTAGAAATTATTGATAATTAAGGTTTTTATTTACTAAAGTACTAATAAAAATGGAACTAAGTAACATTAAAGCTGAAAATATATGTAATCTTGTGTAAAGTATTTAATTAAAATTGAGTGAATAACTAACAATTAAGTTCTCGAGAATAATTTTTGAACATCTGGCGTTCAGCCGTTAATATTAAATTTGATTCGTAAGTAAAATTATGAAGGCTTTAAAATGATGCTCCACATTCTTAACTATAAGATTAACTAGCAACATATTTGTGATTTTATTAATAAAAATCAAACTTAATATCTTAATATGTAACAACGATTTTTGAATTTTTCTTTAATATCAACGGTAAAATGATCGACAATAATGCTTTAGAAATTTGCGCGGTGGGAACTTTATTGTCGATCATTTATCTTTGAATTAAAAAAAATTACATATAAAATTTATTATTCACTCATAAAATAGCAAATATGTTACCAATTAATCTTATAGCTAAGAATATGAAGCATCGTTTATAAAGTTTTAGAATTTTTACTCACGAATTGAATTTAATATTAACGGCTAAATGCCAGATGTTCGAAAATTATTCTATGGAATTTAATCGTTAGTTATTCACTCAATTTTAATTAAATATGTCCGAATACTTTATATAAGGTGCCATATTCTTCTTTGATGTTACATAGTTCCACTTTTATTAGTAATTTAGTAAATAAAAAATTTTCATATGTAGAAATTATTGATAATAATTTTTGGATTATTTTTTATTTTTTAAAATTTTTAATAAATTTCGGCCATTTTTATTCACATCCAAATTTTCACTAGATACCATGAAAATTTCTTCTGATTAAAGTTGTAAATATTATTTCTGGATACAATTTTATCTAAGATAGTTGAAATTTATCTTTAGAATCCATCGAGTCAGGCATGGGAACGATTAAAGATTTAATGTATTATTTTTTGTCAATTTAATTTTTCTTCACCTGTAGAGTTTATCCATTAAAAATTTTTCATGTGGTCAGCAAGGAGTTACTTTTATCCAAATATGTAAAATCGTGTAACAAAGTTTAAATAATGTATAAAATGATCATTTTTTGGTAGCTCAGTTTCTTATAAAAGAGAAATTGTCAATTCAGTGTTAATTTGAGCAAACGTTGAGAAAAGTTTACTTTCGAAATCAGAAAACAGAAATCAAAGTAAAAAGCCCGAAGAAGGTTAGTTATAAGTTCAGATCCAAAGAAAAGATTTTAGAATTTCTAGTCAAAATTTTAGTGTTTAATTATTCTTTCTTCTCAAGTAATTAGAAATGAAAATTATAGAAAGTTAGATTTTTGATTTAAAATTTTCTTTAAGAAAGTTCTATGAGTGAAATGACATATATAATATGAATCTTTTAGGAGGTAAACGTCGTCTACATAAATAATCAAAGTTAAAACTTTCTTTTCCAAAAGATATTGTAAAATTCATGCCACCATAAGGATACTTTTATTTCTTTTTTCGAAATTTTAATATTAATTTTATTAGTTTTTTATGAACTTTTTTAAATTTCGATAATTTTTATGAAGTTTTTTAAATTTTAAAATTATAAACATTTAGAATAATCATTTATTTTCAATATTTTCAATTATCAAGACTCATTACTTAATAAAAAATAGATAAGGTTTATATTGTTAATTTAAATAATTATTTTATATTTTAATATTTAAACAAAAATTAATTGTTGTTTATTTAGGTAAGAATTTGAAGCTCCACGTCACTTTATTTTGAATAATAAATATTATTATAATGTCCGAGATTGTATCCATTAAATGTTCAAGCATGTCACTTAGAGATTAAGATTACAATTATATTAATCAAAATAATTAATGAATTAAATTGAATTAAATTAATGATATTTATTAATTAAATTAAATCTATTAATAATATTATTAATTATCAGATTATAAATGAAAATAATAAATATCGATATTACAAGCAGGTTGATATGATAAAAATTGCTTTTATAATTTATGTTGTTTTGACTTATGATTTTTCGATTCTTTAATTAATTTCATTTTTTTTTAAAAAAAAAATATCATACGACAGTTTTTCGAATTTATGAAATCATACTAAAAGAATGAAATTTGGATTATAGAGTATTATTATTATATCATCATTAAGGTAATTCTTGATTACATGTACAGTATATATTTATGAGTATTAGCACAGATAGAATTATAATCGACGACAAGAAAATTAAAAAATAGAAAAGGTTTTTTGTTTATAAAATGGGATGGGTGATAATTATATGGTAAATAATATCAGGTCCCGGGGGTATGACACATTTAGATTCTAAAGTTTTAAATCATATTAATATGTCTTCTTCTTATTTTAACATAATTTGTTTAAAACAACTATGGGGAGCTGTTAGAAATTCTCGCCTTACATTTTAATAATATTTCTATTATAAGGTAAGCTACTGAATATTAGAGTTGATGCTATAGACTAAGGAATCATTTTGTAGACAGAAATTCTCAATTCTAAAGCTAAAAGAATTCGTCCACGACTTCGGGTTCAGCGTTATCCTGTATTACGTTTTGCGAGACGAAATTATTGACTTTGTCATTGGGTTCTTTTAATTACTCTTCAAGTTATTATCATAAATTTGACAT